ATCTACTCTTTGGCTTTGATCTCTAGCAATTACTATGGTTTCCTGTCAGTTAACTTGTGAGGGTGGGTGGTTGTTTCTTGGAATTAACTTCTAACCAAGACGTTTCTCAACAGCAGAACATGAGATGACAAAATACAGTGGTTTGACAAGGGAAAACATCTCCCTTATGGAGCACCGATTGCTAGTTAGGAGCCATTAAACAAAGGACACATTTCTGCCCATTTAAAGCTCGCATGATCCCCTTTCCCAGTGAGGGCTCTGACACCGGTGGCTTCCATAAACTGCTCGGAGCTACATACCGGGTGGATGAAGAAATTCTGAGAAAGTTAGCTTTGGAGCCGTGCACTTAAGCTGTGTGCTGCTTCCTCAAATGGATGCAGAGAGCTGCGTTGTGAGAAAAAGTGGTGAACTGTACCAGGCTTTTTCTCTTTGGCGTCAACCAGCTCCCAATCGTGGCGCAGAGACTTATTATCTGTGTTTCTGGCTAGCTCTTTTAACTGAAATGAACCTGTTTCTCTTTATCTACCTTTTGCCTTGAGGCTTATTACCTTTCTTCCGTCTGTGTATCTTACTTGTACAGCTTCTCTATGTCTGGCTGGAGGCTACCTGGCTTCTTGCTCCAGGCATCTCCCTCATTCTCTCCTCCCTCTTTTCTCGTTCTTCCTTCTTTCTTTCCTTCCTTCTCCCGAGCCTAAATCTCTCCTATTTATTCTCTCTGCCTGCCAGCCCTGCCTATTCTTTCTCTGCCTAGCTATTGACCGTTTAGCTCGTTATTAGACCAATCAGGTGCCTTAGGCAGGCAAGGTGAAACAGATGCAACATATCTTTACATAATTAAACAAATGCAGCAGAAACAAATGTAACACACTTTACACAAGTAAAGTACTGTTCTGTAGCATAAACACATGTAGCACATCTTTACCTAATTCAAAGAATATTCCACAAGAGTGAGCAAATGGGAATAATCAAAGCAGTGTTTATGAATTAGAAAAACGGGGGAGTTGGGAGAGGAAAGATTCAGCATAAAGAATATTTTCTTTTACGGGGGTGGGGAGGAAGGTGGGAGGAGGATGCACAGACCCTGAACTAGTCAGGGTACCCTGTTCTGATCAACAGGCCTCACCCTGACAAGGATGTGGAATCCCTCAGAGCTGTAAGGTGCTTTCCAACAGCAGGTTTGGTTTCCAGGCCAGGCTACGTAAAGCTCAAGTTTATTTCTCTTCTGCTGGAAAATATTCTACCTGGAGTTTGATTAAGTGGATTGCAGGGGGCTGGTGAGGTGGCTCAGCAGTTATGAATGTTTCCTGTTCTCCCATAGGACTTGAGTTCAGTTCCTAGCATCCACCTAGGGTGGCTGACAACAGCCTGTAACTCCAGCTTCAGCAGATCCAACAGCTTCTTCTGAGACCTGTGGGCATTTAGTCACATACATAGCATCTCTGTCTCACATAGAACTAAGTGTGTATGTGAGTTTGTTTATGTCCACAAACCCTGTCCTAGTAAGAAGGTGGCTTCATGCGTGTCTGTCTTGCATTCTAGAAGAGAGCGGGGATCTTGTTCACATGGCAGACATGTTACATTCTTGACGGTAGACTGAAGAAAGGCTGTAAGAGTTTCATTTACAAGGACTGAGAGTGACAGAAAGGATACGGTTGGAGTCAGTGCAAACACCATCCCTGCCACCTCTGGCCCAGGCAATGTGATCATTTTGCCCTGACAGTTGGGCAGGCGGAAACACCAGATACATTCTGACATTTGTCAACTGCATCTAGAGAGAACAAATTGCTTAACTCCTCTGAGCTACATGTTAAGACTGAACCTCAACTTTGTCATCTGAAAACTAGGGATAACATAAAAGAGAATATGAGAATAAATGAGAGATATCTATGAAATACTTGTACCTGTGCTACCGAGTTGTATTTAACGTAATGTAGGTTGGGTAGGAAGTGGGAATTACCAGTTATTCTCCTTTTCCTGACTGTTGGCTTACTCTCTCATTCATTAGTCATGCGTGAGTGGACATTCAATACTGAAGGAATAACTTGATGAGTTGGTTCTCTTTGATGTGGTGGTGAGAACTTCTGTGATAAGAGAGTGGTACCCAGACTCCATCAGTGGTCTGGAGCAGTTGTGACATGCAGCTCATGTATAAGATGGAGTGGTACCCGGACTCCATCAGTGGTCTGTAGCAGTTGTGACACACAGCTCATGTATAAGACAAGAAAGAATCATTATTCAGGCCACGAAGAGGCCTGAGAATGGTTACCTTGAGGACAAGGCTCCAGGGAAATGGGTCCAGGCAAGAGGTGAGATGAAGCTCAATGGCAGTTGCCATGACTACCACTAGGCAACCCCGGGAATGGTCTCTGAACAGGATGTAGAGCTGCAGCTCGGTCCCAGTGGGTAGAATCAGAGGCCTCTCCCAGCAAACAGCCTCCTGGTGAAGGCTACGCCGCTAGTGACGACAACAGATGTTTTCTGATAGATGGAGGTGGTAGAGAGACCTCTGGTGCCTGCAGGAGCCTTTGGTGAGCCATGGCCAGGGCGGGGACAGCTCCGGAGCTGGCTTCAGATGCCCAGGAAGCCAGTGTTTGAATCCCTTCTCAGTGGCCCCGGGCACTGGTGTCTCCTCGCTCCGACTATGTCAGGAATTTGCAGATGCCAAGAAGGACAAGGCTGGCCTTTGAAAACTTATTTCTTTCATCCCCGCCCCCACTACCTGTTTCTCTGATTTTACAAAGTGACCCCAGAAGCTCTCATCATCCAGCCCCCTTGCTGGGCAGTGCCCACTCTGTAAAGGCAGTCGGCTCTCACTTTGAGTACAGTGCTGTGGGAGAAAGCTGCGCACCAAAGCAGGAACAGCTCCACTCCAGAGCTGCTGGCATTTCAAGAACATCTTGTGTCCATGCGTCATTTCTGCTGTGACATTGTCCTGACCAAAACAACCGAAGAAGGGGTTTCCTTGACTTTACAATACCTAGTTTCAGTCCGTCGTTTAGGAGAAGTCAAGGCAGGACTCAAGCAGCTAGTCACATCATAACCGCATTCATGAGCGGAGAAAGAATAAGTGTTCTTGCTTGCTTGGACAGCTTACCGCCTCTGCTTTTACAGAGTTCAGAGACCCCAGCCTAGGGAATGGTGTTGCTCACAGTGGGCCTGCTCTTCCTACCTCAATGAACAATCAAGATAGTTCCTCCCAGACATACCATAGTCATAATGGATCTAGGTTGTTTCTCAGTGATGACTCTTCCCAGGGGATGGTGGGTTGTGTCAAACTGACAGTTAATAATCAGCACACCTTGCTAATCTGACTGAGGACAAGACTTCACAGTGGTGTCTTTAGAACTGGGCGCTAGAAGCCCATCTTTAGCAGGGTGTTCTTCCTTATGGTGCAACCTCATCACAGGAGAGGAGACTTGTTCTTACGACTGCCCTCAAGCCTACCAACCCACCTGGGTCTTTAGCCACATCTTGTCACAGGAGGTGGACGGCTTGGAGTCCTTTCTAAGCCTTCTCCTCCCACCACCCTACTCAGTTCTTTCTCTTTTTGGCTCATCCTTCAATAAGCAGCCTCAAAATCTTTCTAAAGCATCAAATAAATATACCATTTCCTCCCCGAAGGCACAAACCTGTCCTGGTCCTAATGCTTATTTTAGTTGTAATGGGCTCCTGCCCTTTCCAGAAAAGTCGTCTAACTTACTCTTGTCCTGTTTGTCCCCAAACAACTTCCATTTAAGCTCTATCCTCGCCACTCCACGCCAGTCGCTCACGCCAAGCTCATCTTCATGTTGCCACAGCCAGTTGCCGGTCTCTGGTCCTGAGCTCCCTGTATGCACAGACCACCGACATTTGAGCAGCTGACCCTGTCTTTTTCACTGTTCTTTTGCTGTGAAGAGACACCACGGCCAACTCTCGTAAGAGTTTAACTGGGGGTGGCGTACAGTTTGAGTTCACCGGCATCGTGGCGGGGAGCTGGCATCATGGTGGCAGGCGCTGGAGCAATTGCTGAGAACTACATCCTGATTCACAGTGAGGGAGAGAGGGAAAGAGAGGGGGTGGGAAAGAGAACACATCTGGGCCTGGCTTGGGCTTTTGGAAACCTCAGGACCCACCCCCAGTGGCACACTTCTTCCAACAAGGTCTCCTCGTCCCTCTAATTCTGTCAAAGAGTCGTGCACCTTGGTGACTAAGCATTCAAATATATGAGCCTATGGGGCCACTCATATTCAAACCATCGCCACCTGCTTCCTGTTCAGGAGACACCTTTTATGCTTGGCGTCTGAGAAACTCTCTTTTGATTTTCTTGTGTATTTTCCGGGCTTGCTCACTAGATATTAGCCAGGTCCTTAGAGGGGCATCCCAAAAGGACCAAACAGTGCATATTCCATTACTTAAGTTAGCTTGGGAGCCATGGAATGTCCCCACATCATAGTTATAGACCGTCCATATTAAAAGGAGAGAGTCCATCTCACAACTGAGGAAACGCACTAAGGGAGGAGGGTGTGTGTGAGAGGGAGCGGTGGCGAGCCCATGCTGGTTTTTTTTAAAAACTCTCTTCTGATAAACGTTCCTAGAAATACTCTTTTTCCTTGACTTAATCTTGCTCATAAAGTTCTTTATGGCATGCAAGTGTTCCATTAATGTTTGTTAAGTAAGTAAAAACAGAAATCATGGTCACAACAAAGCATTTATCAAGAGCTTTCTGTGCTCGGCACCAAGTAAAACTTTTCAGCTCCCCAGTAACCAAGAAGTAAACCAGGGCTTAGAGCAGTCCACACAGCTGACCAGGGCTAGGGCTGAGGCTGGAAGCCAGGCTGGCAGCCAACAGGTGCAGGGAACGTCTTCAGGACACTTCAGGGTAGAGAGATGGCAGACCCTGACACCTGAGTTCCCCCTGTCCACGCTCTGACGGAGGCTGCTATAGCAGCTTCAGAGGGCCCCATCCTTGCAGGGGTCTGGGTGTGTATGTTGGTGCCATTTCCTTTCCTCTTTTATTTCAGTCTGGGTGGCTGTCGATGCTATTTCTGTGGAATCTACACAAGATACTCTTCGGGCTGCTCGAGGCAAGAGCGTCACCCTCCCGTGTACCTACAGCACCTCCGCTTCAGACCGAAATGGATTTATTCAGTGGGATAAGCTTCTCAGGACTGAAACGGTAAGGCTCCAGGATGAACCAGGGCGTCATGGGTCATGATTAGCATCTGTGATCTCCTAACAGGTGCATGCCTTAAAACCTTCCTTCTGTCCCTCCCTCCCTCTTTTCTGCTGTCTGGGTTGAGATTCAAATCCAGGGCCTTGTGCATCGGATCCTGTACTTTACTGCTGAACTATGGACTCCATGTTTTAATTCAAAATATATTTTATGAAGATATTCTATATATACATATATATATATCATCAGTTTGTTTTCTATATTTTGCGGTCACAATAAACACAAACATTGTTTTATATATATACCATCTGATAGATTATGAAAAGTGGGACTTGCCTTGCATTCACCAGGTTCTGAGACAAACAAAATACAAAAAAAAACGTGTAAGAGCGGATCGTCTGGGTTAGCGGGTGTGTGAACTTGCACTTCCTATAATTAGAGCATTTCGTGGGATACTTACCCATCTTCATCTTCGCCCAAACTGTCTGACAATTGGGGATTTGATGAAGTAAAAAATGTATCTCATCTATGATCAAAAGCCTATCTGTTTATAAGAAGTGGTCATACATTTAGGTCAGATCTTTCAAGATGCTAACGTGGGCAAGAGGGGTGCTGGAAGGCACCTGTAACCCCACACCTCGGGGGTGAAGCCAGAAGGAATTCCCGTTCGATTCCAGCCTCCTCCACTTCCTCCTTTCCTTCCCCTTAAAAATTCTTTGAAAGCTAAAATGACTTTATTCTAGTGAATTTGCAAAGCCACCACACAGCTAGTTTACGGCAATCACTCAAGCCCTTGCCCAGTCCCAAACTCTACACATCTCAGTGAACGTCTATACAGTAGGAATGACCACATAGAAGCCACGGAACTTTGCTTAGGGTTTTACACTAAAACTACCAATTACATTTGGATTTATTTATTATCTTAGTTAGGATTCTATTGCTTTGATAAAGCACCAGGACCAAAAACAACTTGGAGAGGAAAGGTTTATCTCGCTTCCACTTCTGCACCTCAGTCCATCATCAAAGAAAGTCAGGGCAAGAACTCCAGACAGGAACCTGGGGGCAGGAACTCCAGACAGGAACCTGGGGGAGGAACTGAAGCAGAAGCCATGGAGGAGAACTGCTGGCTGTTTGCTCCTCACGGCTTGCTTGGCCTGCTTTCTTATAGCACCCAGGACTACCAATCAGCCCAGGGGTGGCCCTGCCCACATCAGTCATCAATCAAGAGAATGCACTGCAGAATTTTACGGAGACATTCTCTCAACTGAGAGTCCTCCTTCCTAGTGACTCTAGCATGTGTCAAGTTGACATAAACCTAACCAACACACTTATCAAATACAGATAAAGAAAAAAAAAACTACAATAGAGTTGAAATTAGGGGAAAACTAGCTTTACATCATGTGTGACTTGTGTGTCCTCTTGCCTGCGTTCTGTCCTTCCTCATCACCTTCTGCCATTCTTCCTTGGTCTCCTTTCTGTAGTATAACCTTTAGGGAAAAAAATTTAATAACATATCTGCCAGAGAGAATCACCTGGTCCCCAGCCACCCAGAGAAGAGGCTTTAGCCTTTTCCCTAACAGAGTCCCAGGACACCTGTATCCTGGGGGCAGGACTGATAAGGAAGGAGTCGGTCTTACCTCCACGCACCGAGGGTCCCAATGGGCCACCGTCCCCATCCTGTCTGCTCCCAGGGCGAAAGGAGCAGCATCCTGGCTGCTGTTTTGAGTGTGAGGAACTAAAGGGCACCGAGCCCCCCAGCAGATGCATCCGGCGAGCTGGGTGTAATGTCTATGGCTGACTTATTCTGCGCGTGCTGACATAGACACAGAGCTATAGACATTAACCACTGGATAGTCTGCTTCCAAAGGGAATCGAGGCAGCGGCTCCTTCAGGACCGATAACAAGTGCAGAGCAAGGGATTGCTATCTGCGAGTCCTAGAAAGTGGTATGGTCAAGAGGAGGCCCAGGGACAACCTTAGGGTATCATTGATTGATAAGATGGTATTATGGGGTGGAAAATCCAGAAAAAAAAAACAGTGCCAGTCAGGGTCAGGAAAGAGCTGGGCATCTACGGACTGTTCACAGGCCTAGACGGCACCTCGTCCTCTGTCTTCTCTTTGCCTCCCTGTCTCAACCAGACAGTCTAGAAGGACTGTCAATCCTGTCAGGGCTATCAGATATGGTTGGACAACTCGTGTCTTGCATGAGGGTGTCCAGCTGAGGACACTTGTGTTCCGATAGCTAAGCCATGTGCCCCGACTTGGACCGTGTCTGTTGGAAAGCCGGAGTGTCTTGTTCTAATTGGAAAGGCTCGGCATGTTCACAACTGAGGCTAGCACAGCGTCTCCAGTCTCCTCCCTGCCCACCACTGCCCACTTTCTCTCCTGACACTCCTGAAGTCACCAGCATCTCACACGGGCAACCACTTTCCATTCCGGAGTCCTGTCTCCCTTGGCTTTTGGGGATCTTGTCTCGGGGATCCCCTTTATCTCTCTGGGCTCCTCTTGATTCTTTGAGTGACTTGGGGACTTGCCATTTGTCATATCTAGCTCATGTCTCAGTAAACACCCATGCGCCACTGGCACCCAAACTTTCATCCTCAGATGTATCACCAACTGAAAGTTTCTCTGTAGTTCAGTTCTCGAAAGAAAGAATTCCACGAAGAAGCAAATACAGTCAAGGCAGTTTATTTAGCAAGGCAAAGCTTGCACTCCAAAGAGAGATTGGAGTGGACTGACTTTAATGGGGAGAGGGTGGCAGCCCACTGGGTTCTGCAGATAAACATGGAACAGTTTTATGAATATCTAAGAGGTGAGCCACTTATTCATTGGGACAATATGGCCCCTCCCCTTTCCTCTCAAATCACAGTGGACTGGATTTTGCTTTTAGAATAATTTTTCTTATGATTCTTTTGAAAAGCCCACAAAGTGAGGGAGGGGCCAAACCCACAGTGCACATGATATAATAATGAAGATGGGGTCATTCGAGGATGCAGGCCTTCAGAAGTATGCATGGGGGACAAGAAAGAGCTCTGGTGCGTTCAAGAGGAGCTAACTGCATCTTCCAGTGTGCTTAACCACAAAGGGGCATTCTAACTGCGGGAGACACAGCTACCATGACATCGCGTGGTTTCCTTGCGTCCTCACGTCTAACTCCTTACCTATCATCAGTGACATTCAGTCGACCATTCTGGCCATAGTGAATTCCTCCACCTGGGTGTCCCCCGGACATTTTAGGCATCCCACATGTAGACAGAACGCATACTCTTTGCTTAAGTACTCTCTTCGTGTGTCGACTCTGTTGGGAAGGGTACCATCCGACCTTGTATCTGGGAAGAGCTGCCCTCTGACTCTGTATCCTCATCCCATCCCCACATGTCAAGTGTCCCCTTCTCACATCTCCAATTTATGTCACTCTGTCCTGTGTTGCCACGCCCCAAAGTGACAATAATCAAAGTTTGTCACCACAGTCACTCAGCTGATCTCCTTCCTGGTTCCTTCTCAACCTGTCCCCTTTCTCCTTCCAATCATTTGTACTCTGTATTAAGAGCTAGTCTTATAAAATACAGAATTCTTCTGCTCGGTGGCAGAGCATGTGGGAGGCCCCTGGGCTCAATCCACGTCTACACTGGAAAACAACAGCAGCAGCAGCAGCGCTAAACCGCATCATTGCCTTGAAGATGAACCGTGACCTGTGTCATGCCAGTGCCTCAGGTGTGACTCAGTAGAGTCTGCAGAGCTCAGGCTCTGAGCCACAACACCCAGGGTCACCTCGACTCTGCCATTCACTTAAACGTGTGACCTGGGGAACACAGTTAATCAGCCTCTTGGTGCTTCAGTTTCCCCCGGTGTAAGATGGGTATGGCCATCAGGTCTACTGCAGAGGAGTGTTGATGTGGCTAAATGAGATAATACACGTCTAGTATGTAGAACGGTACACAGCATGTAACATATATAAGCAGCAGCTATGACCTTTGTTGTCATAGGCTCAGTTCTTACTAATCCGTCCCTCACTCACACTGTGCCGCTCAGGGTTGACGACGTTGCTGTCTGTTTTTAGGTTTTTCCTTTGCCTGCGATGTCTAATGCATTTACCCTGCACCAACATGCAGTGCTCCAGTCTCCGGGCTATTGCCCTGGATAATGCCCATCTGTTTCTTAAGCTTCAAGGCAATGATCATCCCTTTTAGGAAACCCTCCCTCAATGGGCCAGTTTCAGATCTCATAATCATAAGATACCGTGGTTGGCTGTTCAGAATTCACAGGGTACATACTGCAGACGTGGTGGATGCTAATAATGGCTAGTAACGGTAGACACCACACCTGGCATACTCCCACCGCTCCGTATAGATGACCAGCTTTAGTCTCACCACAGTTCCATGAGGTGTGTTATTATCAACATCTCCACTTAGTAGGTGAGGAAACAGAGGCTCAGAGCAGTCAAGGGTGTTGCTCAAGGACATCCAGCCATCAAGTGTCAGAGTTAGGATTTGACTGAGGCAGTCTGGCTTGGCCATCTGTGATATAAGCCACGAATGTACTGCTTCAAAAACATCAACAAATAAACAAATTCCAAGACAATAGTCAGAATCAAGTGAGCTTGGAATTCGAGAGCAAATGACCTAGCCTGGTGCCTGGTGTGAGTGGTGCTCAGAAAGTGTTGGGTGAAGGGAGGAATGAATGAGAATAAACGACGGACCGAGAGGAAATCGGGGAGTGAGATGCTGGCTACACACCCGAGTGCTGGGCTCTGAGACAGCCTCATTTGCTCCAGGTATTCCAGGGTGTGCGCTTTTGTGTTTTTTGTTTGTTTGTTTGTTTGTTTTTGATTTGAGTTAGGGTTTCACGTTGGCTTAGACTGGTTTAGAACTTGCTCATACCGAGGGTGACTTTGAACTTCTTCTTGTTTCCACCTCTGGAATGCTGGGGTGATTGGCATATACCACCACCCCCAAGTTTACAGGCGTGGTGCTGGGGATCAAATCCAGGTCTCTGTGTGTGTGCTAGGTGAGCACTACCAACTTAAACTACAACTCCAGACTCTAACATTTTCTTTTAAATCTCTAAAGTCTAGTTAAGAATCTACCAGTAGGCACTGCACATCTGTTTGATCCATACATCTGGGCTCTGGGGATGAAAGATTGGGTCAGGGCAGGTCTATACCAGCGTCTGGCAACATTTCTTCTTTCTCTTAGGAAAGAGTAGTCACCTGGAAGTTTTTGGATAAACAGTACATCTACGGGACCCGTTATGAGAACCGTGTGATAATGTCCAGTGATGTTGACCGCTCCAATGCCTCCATCACCATCGACCAGCTGACCATGGATGACAATGGCACCTACGAGTGCTCCGTCTCACTGATGTCAGATCTAGAGGGTACCTCCAAGTCTCGAGTCCGCCTCTTAGTCCTCGGTGAGTGTCTCCATCTTTTCCTGTAGGAGGAGGGTGAGGCTAAGAGCCCTGGCAGCAGAATCCAGCCATAAATCCAGGTGCAATAGGGCCTGATCGCCAGCCCTGTGTTGTATCGGCCTTGCCTATCTCAGAGAAGAGTGAGGATTCCACTTCTCCCTTTGGAGCTAAATATTGACAGGATTCTCAGTGAACAGCAGGCTGGTTCTGATGGCAGGGGCTTTGGGGTCGTCCCGTGGCCCCTCTGCCTTTTCTCCCCTCCACACCAATTTTTTCCTGCCAAACTCATTTCTGAAGAGAAGGGAAGGGAACTCCCACATAACACGCAGACTCTCATCCCAGTACTTGCTACTCGGAGGCTGGTTGTGACTTCCACAGGCGACGGGTTCCCTGGTGTTAACCCAGCTTCTCTCGGCGGTCTCCCCACGCTACCACTAGTGAGGGCACCATCGCCAACCAATGGGGAATATGTCTCAGGGGCATCCGTTTCATGGGAGAATTTGCTGGAATTTATAGTTTTGGAAGGATCAGGAAACTCATCTACTTTAGTTTCTGCGTGAACAAGGCCCAAAAAAGGGAAGTAACTGAGTCAAAACCGGTTATTGGGTTTTGACTCACTTTGGTGAGCTCCTGGTCTATGTCCCGCATAAGAAATGGCCCCACTCCCGGGAGGTAGCCACCATGCGTGAGAACAATGGGTCCTTTCTGTCTCTTTCCTCTCTACACTGCTTGGCAGACTTTCTTTTAAATTGTGTGTGGTAGTTGCCGGACTTACAGAAAGCATTATAGTGTGTCAGAATATACAGCCGCACACACTAATGCTGCGTAAAGCATAATCCAGGCCTCTTCCCACCCTGCCACCTGGAGGCAGCCAACGGTAGTGCAGCCAGGCGTCCTAGAGGTCTCCCGTGTCCCCTCACTGTGTGCCACACACTCATGTACCTTCCTCTGCCCGTCGAAGAGTTGCGCTATTATAAAGCACTTGTGATTTACCTCCACACGGTGCTCCAGCCCAGCACACGCAGACCTACTGCGAGAGAGCACATCCGGTCTCATGGCTGCACAATGGCTTACAAAAGGGTTTCACACTGAGGGTTATCGGGACAGATTTCATTGTTTGTTCAGTTTTGTTGTTGTTGTTGTTTGTTTGCACAAGCAATACTGCAATATACCTCACTACCCCACTGTGTGTGTATAGTCATATATATACTATATATAGTCACACATATACATACATATGGATTATGTGTACACGGACACATATAAAGTTTGGGTTCTTTGAATTACTGACCTGCCTTTTTGGCCGAGGATGTCAGCGAGTCGAAAGGGAAGTGGCAGGAACCCGTATAAATCTGAAGCCTGGTTCTGCTGGTCTCCTGCCTTACACTAAGGACCAGCTATTTCTAAAGAGGAACACATTAACCTGAAGAGGGAAGGATACAAATTTAATCTGGGAATATGGAATTCATAGAAGCCAATCCTTTACTGTTAAAAAGAAACCTTTTTTTTTTTTAAAAAAAAAAAAAAAAAACAACCTACATGCTAATTAAAACCCAGTGAGATTCTTTGTGGAAAGTTTTCTTTCTCTGTGTCTTTATAGCCGGATGCTTTTTTAAAGGAGAAAGGCTATAATGATACGGGGCGGCTTATTTGGGGCAGGCTAGCAGGAAGCCCCCCAGCCTTAGTCTCTGGGAGCTAGCCTTGTCTAGCTCACCTTCAGGAAGCCTAGAAGCCAGATTTAGCGGCCTGTGCGCCAGGTGGAATCCTTGCTCTGGCCTCTGGCGCCCCCTGACGTCCTTAGAGGGAACAACCGGCATCGGAGAGGATTTGAAGCCTAACACTTTCGCTTCCATCCTCTATGGCCACTCTCAAAGTAAATATACAGGTAACACCTACAATGCTGCTTGCGAATCAGGCCGTGTGAGAACAAGATACCCTCCCCCGTCAGTACTCTTAGCCCCCGGACGTGGGGCTCTTTGAACTAGATATGACTCGAGGTCCCCGCTGTTTGTGATTGGCGCGCAGGCGATCTGGAGAAGGAGGGCAGGGGTGCGCCTGGGATGGGGTCAGGTAGGAAGTTTAGGGCCTGTGGTCAGGAGCCTAGAGCAAAAGATCTCATCACAGTCCCCCCTAAAAAGCAGATCCCCCTTGCTGGCCATCACCCTTCTTCCTCCCGTGGGCAGTTAGTTTGTGGAGTTCCTGTTCCTTGCATTCCTTGCCAAGGAGTGGAGTAAGCAATCTAGTCTTCCACCGCGGACATTTACTTGCTTTTTACGCTTAGTTTCCAAACTCTACTTCCTGCTTCTGTCCTGTATCCCGCCCCCTCCGCCCCGCCCCCGCAGGGAGTTCCACTGCCACTCCACCGCTTAATCTGATGGGGCGGGGCGCGTGGGAGTTTGCTGCTGAGCCTCCTGCTAAAGGCTAAAGGCATGTCTGAGGCTGGCTAGGTAGGGGCACCGCAGGGTCCCGCTGTGGGGCCCAGGAGAGAAAGCAGAGCCCAGCAGGAGTACCCAGAGGGTAAGTCCGCCTCCACAGCATCCCCCAGGGCTGCTTGCTGGGCCAGCAGGATGGGCAGGAGGCTGACAGCCAGCTGCTGGCGGGCACTCTGCCCACCTGCGCTTTGATCCTCAGAAGCCCGGGTTTTGTTTGGCAATAAGGGAGTGCCTCTAATGTGTCTGGTGGGTCCGTACCTGGCTGGCCCAGCTGTGTTAGCAGATGTCAGGCACTAATAATAGCCGGCCTGTTTCCAAGAAGAAAATCTGCAACTGCCCGACAGGAAGAGAGAGAGAGGAGAGTCAGGGACCGTTCTTCCAGCAGCTTCCAGGTGGACTAAGGCTGCCATTAACCTCCAGGATGGGTGGCTGAAGCAAGCTAGCCAAGAGGGCATGTGATGAAAGTAGAGGGGCCAGGCCACTACCCAAGGACATCAGTGACAACTTTCCCCACTGTGTGTTCTCCCTTCCTCATCCCTAAAGATGCCTCCTGAAGTCTCATGGATACTTTCCATTTCCCCAGTCCAGCACGCTCATCTCTGCTCTAATCCCTGCCACTACCTTCGTCGAGGTGACCTTCAGGTCACAGCCCATATGCTGTGTCCGATCATAATTTTCTGCCCCAGCAGTCTTGTCCCCTGCTCTGCCATCGCTTCATTGTCTTTTGTCCCCTATTGGACTCCTTGATCCACTCGGAGTGTCACCCCAGTGCCCAGCATTGTTGGGTAGATCCCGGCTACCTAACAACATTTATAGAACCACCCACACCCCTCAATGTGACCTGAACAAGGCTGAGGAGAGACACAGGCTTAGAATCTCAAGAAGCCTGGGGCACCAAGGACAGACGGTTGGCGGCAGCGGTTTCTGGGGTTCATAAACATTTCTGATGGCATGCCTTTGATCCCTGCGGCCCACTCCCATCTCTTCGCTCTCATTTACCCCCCCCCCCAGCAGGAAGGTCTGCCCTCCTGGGGTCCCTCTTTCTCTCTAGCCACTTGTGCTGATCCATTTTATTAGCAAAGCAGGGGGAGCAGGCAGTGTTAGACTCGCAGAGGATGACCTGAAGGAGCTGTAGCTGAGGGCTGCAGAGATCTGCGAACCTAGTGTGAGGAAACCCCGCCCCGCACTTATGGTTTTAAAACATTATTAAAACCAGAAAATGAAAGGGGAGGGAGAAGGTCTCCAGAGAGGGGGGGAGCGGGTAAACATGATAAAAATAAATTGCATACATGTATGAATTTTCAAAGAATAAAAAATATTATACACCTGCCTCCTCCCTCTAAAGAAAAGAAAGCATTGGCGATAGTATTGTGTGGTCTACCGAGCCTACAATTCCCATAAGGCCCTTTACAGGACAGTCTTGCTGTCCCCTAACTTTAGAGATCAGGAACACTGTGATCTCTGCCAACAACAGAGAGCTCATATGCGTCAGTAGAGCAAGCCCTGGTTCTGGACCAGAAGAGAAATACCTGGGTTCTAATCCCACCTCCGCTAGGACCCGAGAACAAGTGTCCCTTCTGTGCTCCATGGCCCCCATCTGTATAATGCTATGTTGGGCATGTTCAAACTCCCACAATTCCCGAGAGCACCAGAAGCCACTACCAACCAGCCTGTCATGGAGACTATTTACCTTGGATGGTTTGTTAGCCAACAAACTCTCCATGACCCCAGTGACGTGTGAAACCAAAGTGATTCTACCAAAGCTCAGCTCGGAGAACCCACGATAGCGCTGAGTTACACGCAAAGCGTGGGTGAGCCCACAGCAGCCACAGCGCTGGGATCCACCTCCGCATGGACGGCTTCTCCGTGGCTGTATAGACGAACAATGCCCCCTTCACTTAGCCTTCCACAGTCTGCATACACCATATGCTAGCACCTCCCGAGACAAGACATGAACAATTCAGGCAGAATTACTTACAAGTGGTCACTGGTGCTTGGTGGAGTGGCTGGAAGCTCAGGCGAGAGTTCCACAGCCCTGCTCAGCCCCTGCTCCTCTGAGGACGCGTTAGCAGCCCACAAGCCCGGCCTTGAGGGTCCCTGGAGTCACGGCTTCTCTGATGAAGTTGACGCTGCTGTGCTAGGAAGGGCGCACTATACAACACAGTGTCAGGTGCTGCCCATTTGAGAGAGTGAGATGACCGTGGACATTTTGGGGGGGGGGAGTTAACTTGATAACATTAAATCTCACCTCTAGGCTGTAAGTTTCTGCCGGCCTCTGCGTGTGTGATGGGAGAGATGGGCTGATAGCTATTGGGGCGGGCAGTGACTGTCCCCATGCCATTCACGCCTCTCTTGCGGTCTCTTTCCTTCCCAGTGCCGCCCTCCAAGCCAGACTGCGGCATCATAGGGGAGACGGTGATTGGGAACAACATCAACCTGACCTGCCGGTCTGCAGAGGGCTCGCCGAGCCCACAGTACAGCTGGAAGAGCTACAACGCCCAGAACCAGGAGCGGCCGCTCACCCAACCAGGTGACCTGGGACAACAGGGAAGGCGGCTGTGCTCCACCTGTGGGTGCACCTGACTAGCTAGGGCTAAGGGAGACAGCGGCTGACCAGGCAATCCAAGCACCATTTCCTCAGTCCTGCCCTTGTGCCATTTCGCATGGTTTCTCAAGGCATTTGTTTCCCATACGAATACCTACCGGCTCCCGGCTGCCAAAGACAGAAGTGACTCGCAAGTGATAGCTCTTCTATTCTTCCCACCCCCACTTCGATTCTCCTGAGCAAGTGTGTCCTGCTAAGCATTCTGTGCAGAAACACTGGGGCTTGCTCTTTGAAGCGTTATGACAGCCTACAGTCCACTTTTGAGGCGGGGGATTTCCTAGTCCCCTTTCCTATCCGGGGCCAGTCCATCTCAGACACCACCACAAGCACACCATGGACTGTGAGGACCCCCATTCTCAGAGCATGCCACGGCAGATTTAACTAGTGTTGCCAGGAGACCCGTTTTGTACTGGGCAGCCAATATTTGACCTTTTGGTCAGGAAACAAACTAGAAGGAGGAAAAGGAAGAGGCGTAGTAGCCAGGAGAGGAAGAAAGGGGAGAGGAAGAGGAGAAGGGGCGGAGCTGGGAATGTGTAAACACTCTGCTGCCGTTCTGTCCACCTGTGTGTGGAAATCCCCTGGGCTCTCCCCGGCCATGGCTGCACCAGAGACCTCAGGCAGGAACAGAAAGGCCCGGAAGATGCCTCTAAGGTTTAGCCCTGAGGTCTTTCAGTCCTCTGTGTGTGGAAATGGAACGGAGCTCTGAGAGCAAAGCCCGTGGGTAGACACTATACTTGGCTTTTTCTTTGGGCCACCAGCTCAATAATAAGAAAACTTATTAGAGTATGAAAGCTCGGCCTTGGCCTGAGCTTGTTCTCAACTAGCTCTTATAATTTAAATTAACCCACTTATATTAATCTGGGTTCTGCCACCCCACGTCACCTTTCCGTTCAGTAGGGCACGTGCAACTTGCTCAGAGTCTGCTGGCGAAATTCGCACGTCTACCTTTCTTCTTCTCTTCCTCTACCTCTCCCTGGAAATCCTGCCTATCTCTCCAGCCTAGTGATTGGCCATTCAGATCTTTACTAGACCAATCAGAAGATGCTTTAGGCAGAGACACACTGTAAATGACACTGGACAACAGGACACACCTGTTTGAGAAGCTGACCGGAGGGAGGGAAGAACACACGGGACCTGAGGAAGTCCGATAGACAAATGCCCCGCTCCTTAGGCTTCCATCAAACCAGAATGGATTTTATCCGGCTATTTTCAACTATTTGGAGGCCAACCAATAACTTCTTAAAAACAAGTTCATAGCCGGGCGGTGGTGGCGCACGCCTTTAATCCCAGCACTTGGGAGGCAGAGGCAGGTGGATCTCTGTGAGTTCGAGACCAGCCTGGTCTACAAGAGGTAGTTCCAGGACAGGCTCCAAAACCACAGAGAAACCCTGTCTCGAAAAATCAAAAAAAAAAAAAAAACAACAACAAGTTCATAGTTGGGCAGGTGCTGGTGGCACACGCCTTTAATTCCAGCACTTGCAAGGCAGAGGCAGGAGGATCTCTATGAGTTCAAGGCCAGCCTGGTCTACTGAGTGAGTTCCAGAACAGCCAGGGCTACACAGAGAAACCTTGTCTTAAAACAACAAAACCCCACAAAAAAAAAAAAAAACAAAACAAAACAAACAACAATAACAAAAAACAACATGAAAATCAAAGTTAGTAGAACTCATTTGACTTAAGGTAAAAGATGATGCAATATGAATCCCACAGGCTTCCGGCTTTGCTGGCGTGTTTCTGGTTGCTGATTTTAAAAACATGCTTAAAATTGCCTTTTTTTTAGTGTATGCATTGTATATATGTGCAAGCATACCACAGTGAGAGGCCAGAGGGCAACCCGCAGAGCTGCTTCTCTCCCATCATGTGAATCCCAGGGGCTGAACCTGGACTCAGGTTGTCCCAATTGGCAGCAGGTGCTTTTACCCAAAGAGTCATCTCACCGGGCCCTGGACTGCAAGGATTTGAGTGTCTGGATCTTTGTTGAAATCACCTGGAAGGTGTCCTCAAACTCTGTAGTCTCCTTGCTCTACCCTTGATTCTTGCTAGTCGTTGTTTGAGAACATAACCACGCGTCCTCCAGCAAAGTGTGCACAGTGGGGTCCAGGGCTGAAGGTCGTGAGGTCACGAACCACAGTGCCTGACCTACAGTGCTGTGTGACTGACTGCTTAAGAGCAGCCAGGGGCTCGAATCCTGGCTGTGCTGCTGGTTATGTGCCTTTGTCTCCACATCTGTCAAATGGGCACAGCACCAGTGTTCAGCTCGTGCTGTGGCTGTGAAGGGAGACCCGAAGTCCACAGAACACCAAGGTCAGTGCTGTGGGCAGCACAGGACCCAGTCAACTCTAGGTATTGTTAGCTCAGCATGCCCTTCAGGGTAAAAACCAGCATGGGACCCATGACATGAGTGTGGCTGAGGGGGAGGATGCGTGCCCTTGCGGAGACGATGTGAGAGGCTGTTGATGGGAAAGATAGGAGAGATGGAGAGGGGCCTGGGTGTCAGCCTAGGAGGTCAGACTTTTCTCTGTAAGCACTGGGCTCCTCCAGGAAGCCTCACAGGTGCCCACCTCCATCACAGGAAGTTAGGGACCAAAACTTAGTTTCCTTATTGACCGAATGTGGGTGAATCCGAGGGCGTGGAAGGAGGTTAAAGTAAGATTTGCTTCTCTGCTTTATCCAGCCCCGAGCTCAGATTTTCTCTGTCAGAATTCAGACAAGAAGATGGCTGCTGCGGTACAATATCTTGTGCTGGCCACATTGTAAATGCAGTCAGGAAGGAGAGAGAGAGACAGAGACAGAGAGACAGAGACAGACGGACAGCAAGATAGACAGACAGATGTACAGACATTCTCCTTTTTATTCAACCTCGTCTTCCAGCCCAGGGATGGCTGCCCACAGCTAAGTGGATCTTTCCGCTGTAATTAATTTAACCTAGACTGCTCCACACAACCATGCCCAAGGCTGTCTTGATCTGGAATCCCTTACCAGCATGGCCAGAAGCTTATCCGCTAGCTTCAGACTGGCAGTATTAACCATGGACGTGGTGATCACCATGCCGTCTTGTGTCTGGACAATGTGATGGAGGGGGCCGTTCCCAAGGCCTCTTGTTCCTAGAGTGCCCTGCAGAGAGCCCCAGAGTCCTGCTGTGACTTCACAGCTGTAAGTCACCCACAAGTTCTCCCATCCTGAAAAACAGACAAACAAAACCCACAGAACAATAACAACACACCATAACCAAAGCTGAGATGGTGCTGTTACCCTCCTCGGAGGAAGAGGTTGTCTCCCGCAGGAGGGCTCTGAGGATGCTTGAGGAACTGTGCTCCAGTGAGTGAGTTTCAGGAGGGAAGGACCAGGAATTTGGATGTTAAGGAAGGAGACTGGAACACTTTAGGGGAGGAGGCCGTGGGAACAGTGATGGGTCCACCCCAGACCCTGGGATGAGATGTGATCCAGAGCTTACTGACCAGCCTTGGTGGGAGGGGAGAGAAAGAGCAGATCCTGTGAATTCAACATCAATATCTTAGGGTGGTCAGGGCTTCAGCAGAGGACAGATGTCTGTCATGCATTTCCTACACTGACCACAAGATGTCGCCACAGCAACAGGAAACTGGGTTTCAGAAACTGGCTCTTTCCAGAAGGGAAGGGAGCCTGGGATCCCCAGTTCAATCAAAGCCAATTGGTGGCATGGGGTGAGTGCTATTTCAAACAGAGAAGTTTCTAGAACCCATTGTTTGCTTCAAAGACTAGGGGAAGAATGGAGTTGGCTCATACATCAGGAACCCCCAGGATTCACCCTAAGCACGGCCTAGAGCTGCCCTAGGGTGCTGTGGACGCCTGATTCACAGAGCAGCACACTTCAAGGGGAATCTGATGCCAGCACACGGCCTCCTAAACACACCTGTGTCACAGAGCATTCTGTAAAGTGTGTTTCTTAACAATTCTCTTAAGAATAACCAAGTCCAACAGGGTCAGAGAACAGGAATGTTAATAGTCTGGACCTCAACCCGGGGTTCCCATTGCTCCCAGCATGGTAAAACGCCCGTAGGCCACGCCCCTTAAGCTTCACAACCACAGGGACTTCCACACTTGCTGTGCTTGCAGACACATCTCCAGAATCACATGTAAATATCACACGTAAGGGATTTGCCAGAAAACACTCGGGAATGGGCTTCTAGACTCCCAGGGCTGTCACATTGTACAGAGAATAGGGCCTTGGGTTCTAAGGGAAGAATATGGAATAAGTAGTATGTTTTTTGACAAGAAGAGAAGAAAATAAAATCAATGTGCTGTGAATAAGGATGATTTGATCTTATTCTCGCTCTTGTGAGAGGCCTCCTCTGACCCCCAGACAAGAGTAAACCCCTTCGCTATGAGTTCAGATACAACCTCCATCTTGAACCATAACTGCTCATAAAACCACCATTGTTTCATGTGCGTCTTCCTTTGTAGGTCGGAGACGCCAAAGGACAGGGACTCTCCTCACTTTGTTTGGAGCCGTGATTGGAATGTAGATGTTTTTGGTTTGGAGTGGATTAACATGACAGTTTTACGTCATACATAAATTCTTACCATAGGCATACATTGCAAAGGTGTCTTTAAAGCCTCTGTTTACGTATTATTAGTGTGCATGCGTGTGTATACACATGTACATAGCACTAGGAAGGGCATAGGATGCCTCCCAGAAGCCAGTTCTCTCCTCCCGTTGGGAAATTCGAGTTGGGGGTACTGGCATGGCAATACCTCCGATCAAGGATGTTGGGGGGCGGAAACAATGCGATGCTGAGACACCGTATGACACAGTATTTCCAGAACATGGAGAAAGGACCCTGTGTGGACTGACCTTGGCTTTGCACACGTGCAGCAAGAGATAAAACTGGTGCAGTTGCAGAATCGGATCTGTAGCTCTGTTATTGTATTAGAAGCTCAGAATTCAGGGCTGAGGGGCGGGGGGGGGAGCACAGCCAGTAAAACACTTACAGTGAAATCATGAGGACCTGGGTTTGATCCTCAGCAACCACATAAAAGCGGGCTTGGCAGCACCTGCTGTAACCCCAGCCCTGGGGATGCAGAGACAGGATCTCCAGGGTTCACTGAGCACCCACCAAGCAGCCGAAACAGTGAGCTCCGGGTTCATCAAGAGACCTGATCTCAAACAGTAAGATGGAAAAGCGATTGACGACTCCCGATGTTAACTTCCAGCCCCCACATGTGTATACATCCGTGCATGTATACTTACCCACATGTACACATGCACACACACGTGAGCTGGCTACTGTGGATTAGAGACAGCTTCTGAAATGTCTACAGGGCTGCAGTGGGTCTCTCTTGATGACTTAGAACACACCCGGGGGGGGGGTGTGTGTGTGATTGCAACACCTAGTGGCAGCCGGGTCCTGACGAGGCTGACATTGCACTCCTGACAAAGGCCTTTGAGAGCAGGACACACATCTAGGCTGTCTAGGTACAAACCCATGGGACCGTCTTGTGAGGACATCTGTGTCCTCGGGCTTGGCGTGGGCTGTTTTCACTCTCACTCCCCGATGAGGGTGGTGACCGGTGAGGAGGAAGCGTCTAAACTGACACTGTCCCCTAACTCCCCAATACCCGTATCCATACCCCACACCTGACACATCACATATGCGCATTCCCCTTTAATACGCATCTATGTTTCCCAAGTCCTGACTGCACATCGGGCATTCTACTGGGCATTTATATTAATTATTGATGCCTCATTCCAGGCTCACAAGTTCCTTGCCAGGCAGGTGTTACCATTTCTAATTATAGATGAGAAAATAGCTTCAAAGACGGCCAAGTTACTTGCCAAATACATCAACTAAGTGGAAAAGGCCAGACTCGACACCTAGGGTCCTGACTGGATTTGAAGCCCTTCAGTATTGTGATCCCCCAGTGGCCTAGGAGGTCTTTTTTCCTACATTACAAATCAGCTTGGCTAGTTCAGAGGGCTCAGGCCTCCTAGCCTTGGGCCGTACATACTCTACCCTAACACCATTTTTTTTTTTTTTTTTTTTTGTAATTGAGCTATACATTTTTCTCTGTTCCCCTCCCAACCTCCCTCTCCTTCAACACTCTCCCAAGGTCCCCATGCTCCCAATTTACTCAGGAGATCTTGTCTTTTTCTACTCCCCACATAGATTAGATCTATGTATGTCTCTCTTAGGGTCCTCATTGTTGTCTAGGTTCTCTGGGATTGTGATTTGTGGGCTGGTTTTCTTTGCTTACACCTGTAAGAATGGCCAAGATCAAAAACACTGATGACAACTTACGCTGGAGAGGTTGTGGGGTAAAGGGAACACTCCTGCATTGCTGGTGGGAATGCAAGCTGGTACAGCCACTTTGGATGTCAGTGGGGCAATTTCTCAGAAAATTAGGAAACACCTCCTCAAGACCCAGCAATACCACTTTTGGTATATATCCAAAGGATGCTCATTCTGTTCATAGCAGCATTGTTTGTCATAGCCAGAACCTGGAAACAACCTACATGCCCTTTGACCTAACGCCATCTTTTCACCCTGCCGCTCTTCCTTCAGCCTCGGGCCAGCTGTTGCTTTTGAAGAACATCACCACAGAAATGGCGGGCTACTATGTCTGCACTTCCAGCAACGAAGTGGGAGTGGAGTCCTGCAACATCACAGTGGCTCCCAGACAGCGTAAGAGCAGGGTGGGGAGGGAGGGTACGAGGCCCAGAGGTGGCTGATGGAGGTGAACGAGCTGACTGCTGTGACCCTGGACAGATGACTCCTGGCCCAGGCTTTCCTCTCCCTGAGGTCAGCCCAGCTCCTCCCGTTCTTTGGAAATAGAGCCTGGGGCAGACTTCTGGAGATCTCTTCAGCCATGCCTGTCTCGAGGGCCCCTCAGAGAGCGTGAGCAAAGTGCCTAGAACCCGCTGCCTTGGTCCAAACCCTAGTCTCTTTTTGTGGGGAGAAGGGAGACCACCGCTACTTCAAGCGTCAGCTGACAGCTGGCATAGCTAACACTAAGGGTCTCGGCAGAGCCTGAGCAGCCCAGTATCAGGTCTGACTCTCCTTGCTTGCTCCTCTCTCCTTAAGAGTGTCCTCAGATCTGTCTAACCACAATCTTCCAGGGCCACGACCTTTGCAGAGGGTTACAGAGGTCTGTAGCCATTGCCCCCTAGGCTGGTAGAAGAGCTGGTACTCCAGAGGCTGGGAGGGACCAGCCTGCTGTGCCCTGCACCGGTCTGTGGTTCCTCACCTCTAGCCTGGCTTTCTTCTCTGTTGCCAGGGGTTGAGTCGGGGGGTGAGGGGGGGCTAGAGTCAGGGCTCAGGAGGTCTAGCTGCTCCATCCTCTCGTAGCTTCCATGAACATTGCGCTGTATGCGGGCATCGCGGGAGGTGTGTTCGCGGCCCTCATCATCATCGGCATCATTGTCTACTGCTGCTGCTGCCGGGACAAGGATGAAAAGGCCGAGGACATGGAGGATGCGAGGCCGTAAGTGTGCGGGGACAGGGGGCCCCTTGGGAAGATCCAGAGGGAAATAGACATCCCAGCTCCTCAGGTACCCCCACTCAGCACCCCGGGAGTCTTCCCTAGTCGCAGTTGAGGAATGAGCAGCTCACGCAAATCAAGGGTGGACCTCAGTCCTGCCCTTGTCTCCCACACTTTGATCTCTAGGCAGGCCTTCTCGTGGCAAGCCAAGGGTCAGGTTTAGGCTGAAACACACACACTACTCCCACAGTCTCCTCGCCACGAGTGGAGTATTCTTGTAAGATCTCACTGTGCACTCCTAAACCAGGCCTGCATCGCGGAGTCCCTTTGCCGCTCCTGGGTGGGGTTGATGGCTGGACCAGTTTACCCTCCCCCCCAGCTCCTCACCGCCATGAGGGTTAACCTTCTCTTCTTCCTCCATTGCCCTGTAGGAACCGAGCTGCTTACCAAAAGCCTCAAGAGCAGCGGAGAGAAGTTTCCAGAGAGAGGGAAGACAAAGATGACTACAGGAATGATGACCGGAGGAGCTCAGGGCATAGCTCTCTTGACCAGCCCTTCAAGTGAAGGGGCTGCTGCCCAATGGAGGGGAGGGCTAGGCTCCAGCCTCCTGCTCTGGCCTCTTTTTCTTTCTAGCCCCGTAATCCTGCCCCTTCCCAGCCATTGGCGGAGTGGATCTTCGAGTGTGTGTGTGTGTGTGTGTGTGTGTGTGTGTGTGTGTGTGTGTGTTTCTGGGGAGCATCACTGGCCTGGCAGCATGGGTCCTACCTGTTACCCTGATGACCACACTGAAAGGACCCTTGCTAATTGCTAATTCTGACTCAGGGTTGGGCCTCCTCCTGGGACCAGACAGCACCCTCTGCTTCCCTTATGGTTGTTGGCAGGGGCTTGGGGAAACTCAGCACTGAGCAGGGGCTCCTTCTGTTCAGAGCTCCTCATGCAGGCAGTGCCAGCTTCAGAGGGGGGGGGGTCTGCCCTGCCCACCACGCCCAGCACTCATAGAGAACCTGGGAATGGGTTGCACTCAATATTTGTGTTGAATGAAGGAGAGGCATCAAGGATACAGTGGAGCCCCTGTGATCAACCCTGCTTCATCTTGCCCTCCATGCTTGGGGGTCACAGTGGCCTCCAGCTGCTCTCTCAGCCTCGTCTTCGGCCATATTGCTCCTGCTCCCAGACGCATGCCTTCTCAGGACTTCCCCGAACACAGTTCAGCCCTGTCTGTAAAAATCCTGCCTGTCCTTACAGCCCACCACTCACAGATCCCAACTGCTTTTCTTGATCCTGTTGTGACCACTCCCATGCAGGGAAACAGCAAAGTCACGTTGTCCTACATCCAAACCTGCGTAACAGGCAAGACCATCAGGGCCCTGCTTCCTGCTGGAATAGAGTAGGTAGCCCTGGAACAGGCTCTGGGCACTTGCCATCATAGGCAGGGCTTTTTCTCTGGGTTGTGACTTGGGACACCTGATGTCTCCACCCAAGCCCTGTGCTAGTCTGGTAAGGTGGGCAGACTAATTTAAAATGAACAACACACACAAGCTCACTTGCCTCCCACCCCTGCCCAGCCATTGGCCTCCGAATGCCAGCTGAGGCTCGCTGCCCTGCCTGCAGCCCTCAGCCTCCACCCCTTCCCCTCTGGTAAGTTCTTTCAGCTCTCCAGGGCTCAGGCCAGACAGGCTGCTCCAAATGTGTTTTAGCATCTGATCACTAGGAAAGCAAATGTATAAATCCCTTGTCCCGTCTGATTTTATTTACATGTATATTTTTATAGACTTTGCTAAACCCCTTGTTTAATTCAAAATGTTTCCTTATCAATAAAGTTACCGGTGGAAATTCACTTTTCTTTGTTCATCTTTTGTTCATGCCAAGTATACCCACTGTCTAGCAGGTCTGTGAGGTGAGGTGACCAGGTAGAGAATCTTGGGGTTCCATTACTTGTGGTCAGGGCCAGCAGTAGCTCTCAAGGTTGTTGGGGACAGGACAGAGCTCAGCCTGGTGGTGGAGGTAGACTGTGAGATGAGAGCCTGCAGGGTCAGAAGACCTAGCAGGCCTGGGCGACATCCATGTGCCTCTAGGGAGATGCCCTCACTGGGTGACATCCTACAGCGCCCCTCCTGAGGAGGTGGGCAGAGAACTATGGCGCCTCTCCCCTGAAGCAGCTCGGATTCGGACAGTACTCAGCTTGAACACAGACCCATGAGACACTTTCAGGGTCATCTCCTTCATACCCCTTCCTGTGGAGCCCTGTGCTTCTCCTGTGCCAGCATCATATTGTGTCCTGGGCCACAACCAGGGTACATGCCTTCGCCTCTGCCTCTGCATCCAGAGGAAGCAAAGGAACCAGTCCAGGAGGGTAAGGGTTAGTTGAGCAGATAACGGTTACTGTCACAGTGTCTTGCTCAAGGCGGCCCCTGGTTTCTTTGAGGAGCCACCATCCCTCATGGTTCATGGTTCATAAGCATGTCTGGAAGCTACTTAGTCCTCATGGGTCCTGTCACCTGTCCTCCGAGGCCTTCCATCCTAGCTCAGGATTAGGGAAGAGCACAGGAGCGAGCAGGGCCCACTTCAGCATGGATTTTGGGAGCACCTGCTCTGCTCTGTGCTGTTCATAGGGGTACTGAGGAGCTGGCATCCAGGGCAGGAAGCAGACACAGGAACAGGTCCATGAGACAGAGAAGGTCTGCGGCAAGGTGTATGTCGGGATGGGGTGAGGGGAAAGAGCTTGCCTTGGGGTCTGGGGATGAGTCAATGAGGAGGTGGCACTTGGCTGCATCTTGACAAAAGAGAGCAGGTGCTGACACTCCACTGTCCTCTAGCGCAGGGCTCGATTACTGGGGTGTCAACTTCCATTATCTGTTGGCAACACTACAGATTTCCTGCTGAATTTATCTCAGTCCAGAAACGGTGACAATTAGACCGCCGTGGGCTCCCAGGCAGCCGCAGCTAGGCCAGCACATGTGTTCCAAGGCGCTGCTGGGTGGGTGCTCAGACGGGCCCCGGAAAGATGAGATGCAGCTCATAAATTAGCTACTCTTTGGGAGCTTATTATGATTAAGTTGCTGTTGTAGCACAGAGACAGAGCACCAGGTCTCAAAGGCAGAGCTCCCAGGGCCCGGCATTCACCAATAGCAAATACTGGGACCGCACTTGCTCTGGTCCGGCTACTGTTCTGAGCCTTTCCCGCATCTCCTCTGTGCTCCTCCCAACAGCAGCGCGAGCTAGATGCTGTCTCAGTCAGTGTTCTGTTGCTGCGAGGAGACACCGTGTCCACAGCAACTCTTATAAAGAAAAGCGTTTAATTGGGGTGGCATAGGATTTCAGAGGGTTAATCCATTGTCATCACGGCAGGGAGCATGATGACATGCAGGCAAACGTGGTGCTGGAGAAGTAGCTGAGAGTTCTCCATCAGGACCTGCAGGCAGCAGGAGGAGGGCAACACTGGGCCTGGTTTGGGCCTTTTAGACCTCAAAGTCCACCCCCAAATCCCCCCCCCCCCCCCCCCCCCCCCCCCCCCCCCCCCCCCCCCCCCCCCCCCCCCCCCCCCCCGTGACACACTTCCTCCAACAAGGTCACATCTGCTAATCCATCTCAAGTAAGGCAGCTGCTCCCTAATGACCAAGCATTCAAATCTATGAGTCTGTGGGGGGCACATTCTTATTCAAACCACCCCAGGTCCTTTCAGTATACCCATTTTACAGTGTAGAAGTTGAGTCTTGGTACTTAAAACACAGAATGCCAAGTTGCTATTTCCAGATATAAAGTCTTTTTGTCCACCTGACTGGGGCATGTCCTCAATTGCTTACTGAGTGTGGAATCAGAACAAGAGAAGTTGGCTGCCTTCAAGGAACTCTCATTGTCTATACCAGTATTTACAAGCAGACGTTGTATTGTGGGTGGAGATTCTAGAAGCTTATTGTTTCAGGGCCCTGGTCGTCTTCACAGGTGATCTTGCTAGGAAGGGGGGGGGCTGTGGGCGGAGCCTCTTTGGCCCCGCCCATTCTTGCATACCGGGATTGTTTCTCTTCAGGACTCAGGTCCATTTCCGGAAGTCCCCAGCTGTGATGGCCCCTGCTTGCTGTGCCGTCCCCAGTTGACCATGTTGGCTTTCTTCTCCGATTCTTCCTAGTCACAGGCTTTCTTCAGGTTTGAGAAAAACTTCCTCCAGATCCAATGGAGTCAGCTTGGCCTGGGCGCTTGGGCGCTCAGTTTTAAGGGTAGAGAAGGGATGCATTGGGTCAGGGATGCATCGGGTTCCAAGCTCACCTCAAGCGGGCACTCTTTCCCTGATTGCCAGGCTGTTGAACCGGTTTTCGCTTCAATTAAGATAAACCAAACGGCTGCAGAGATGGACTTAAAAATTGTACTGACTGAAAAAGCAACAGAAGTTGCTTTCTTGCACACTTTTTTCAGGTTCTCTCCCTTGTATTATGTGGGATCCAGCTCAGGACACAGTTTAACCCACGCGGCCATCCACTGACCCTCCCGTCTGCCTAAGCCACCGGTGGGATAGTCCACTCTCACGGACCAGGGAGTTGTTTGCCGTCAGTCAGCAGAGCAGACAAAACACACAATAACTGTTCAGGGACCACTTTCAATTTCGGCCCTGAGGAGACCGCAGAGATTCTGCTCAGGCCACCCGTGAGTCGCCATGTTACACAGCGTCATCAGGAGGCAGCAAGATGCCAGCTGGTGACATTGACACGAGGAGAGCACTAACTGGCTGTTGGTTTCGGCCAGCCTCCCCTCACAAACGTTCATTTTACAGAGGAGACTAGGAAGTCCAGGGGGTTAATGTCACTAGAGGTGACGAAGCCAGGAGGTGGCAGGTGAGGATGAGAATCGGATCTGATGATGAAGGCCTTGCTATTGCCCCCTGACTACCCCTTCTCCTGGCCCATGCACAGGCACAGGATCAAGGGGAGAAGAAGCCGAATCAGAGCTGCTTGCTTTAAAGTTTTATACACACGAGCTACATAAGGAGACCTTGCTCAGAAAGCAATCAGCTTGTGTAATGAGCTTCTGTGTCATCAGGGTGAGTCATCCCTTGTACCTTTTGAAGGGACGGGGTGACTCATCCAGCTCTGTGAAGATGGAAAGGCTTATTCACTGGAAGTCTCACTTACCGCAGCACAAGTGTCCCCAAAAGGGACCTCAGAGACAGTCAGATCCTATTTGGCGAGGACAAGTGTCATTCATTCCCTTTCAAGATGCAGGGGGGCGGGTCCTTAGCTGTCTGCCCCTGCAGCAGTGCACCTGGGCACCAGAAGAGGAGCCATGAGGGTACCTACACACACAGATAGCATGCAGGAAAGGGGCGTGATTTTGCAGGACTTCCTCCCTACACGTTTCATCTTAAACTATTTTATTTTTTCAGTCTCAAACTTAAGACCAGGTCCAGGTATGATACACAACCTACGCTTGAATGGTGGGAAATAAGGTGCTGACACAGTGCTCATGTTAGCTTTGGTGTGACGCACCGAACGCTTGGTGAGTTTCCTTTGTGTAAGGATACTCTCCCGTAATACTCCAGTAGATCCACCCAGACCAGGAAAGGGCACCATCACCTTTCCATTACCCCCCACCCCACCCCCAGAACCTATCACGTTCACAAGCTTTCCAGGAATGCCATGGAAGCGAGAAGGCCCAGGTTAGATTTGCTCACTGCATTTATGCCTCACATAGATTTAGTTTTCTTTCGGCCAATCCTTCCTTCCTTCCTTCCTTCCTTCCTTCCTTCCTTCCTTCCTTCCTTCCCTCCTTCTCTCCTTTCTTTCCTTTTCTCTTTCTATCTTCTTTGTTCTAGATTTTTGTGACGTCAACACTTCTGATGACTATACAAGCCAGCTTTGCAAAACTCCTCTGAGCTGCCTGATGGTTCCTGTGACTAAACCCGTGCAGCTCTGATGAAGAAAGCCCAGAAGGGAAGCTGCGCTCTCTTCCCTGTATCCCACCAGTTGGGACAGGCCTTCCTTCTGGGATTCCAGCTTCCCTGTTGCTGGGGATATCAACTTTGTTCACTGGGTCACAGTGGTGTCTGCAAGATTTCTCTACTTGCTTCCCATGGCAAATGCTTGGAAGAACTGGAAGGGTCGCACGCAAATATTTTCTCCTCAACCTTTATTCACCTACTATGTCGTCCCTCTAGAATTTTGTGCTTTTATTTCATTCTCCAGGTTAGAATCCACCCTGACTTTTTTCTCTGATGTTTGAATCATTCCATATTGACTAGGGAGCTCGTCCTTGGCCATTGTTGTGTCTCCATCATTCTACATGTGATATCACATCTTACTGCGAGCTTGCTTTCTGTCGTTTCTATTCCAGCTCTGACATCAGCTGTTTCTCCATGAACCATCAGACATATCCAGTTTAGGATAATGGTTTCTGGAAAGTGAGACGTGCTCATCACTCTGAAGGAATCACTGCTCTCTGGCCGTCTTAGCAGTGGATGGACCTACAGGATGAAAGGCACGTGCTCTTGAACTTACGCCTGTTTTCCTGTTGAAGACAAATGTTCCTACCAGTGTTCCCATTTCCCATCCAGCAAGCCGAAGGGTTCGTTTGAATTTCCTTTGGCTGCAGGAAGCCGAAACCCCATTTTCTTTCTTCTATTTACTTATTTAAGCAGTTTCTCTGTACTGTCAATCACTCCCCACTCCCGGTCTTCCCTCTCTGTGCTGTGGTCTAGCCCAGCCTGTGCTCTGCCTTCCCTGGTGAGGAGCCTGGCTTGTAAAGAGAGTCACTTACGCTTCTTCTAGAAGCATGGAGCTTCTCTCTCACATTCAGTTGCCCTGCTCACATCGACTTCTGGGTGCAGCGTGAAGGGTCAAACAGGAGCTG